GGAATGCGGTGAGGTGCAGAGGGGCGGGGCACATGACGAAGCCCCGCCCCGCTTCCAGCCCTCATTCAGCCAGGAGGAGGCAGGAGAAGAGGGAGGGTAAGTTGCTTCCTCCCCGCCTCTCCCCACCCCTGCCTGCCTGGGGCCAGGGAGGGCCTTCGCGGGGCTTCCTCGCACTCCTGCTGGCCTTGCAGGTCCACCGCCGGGCCCCTGATGTCAGGGGGTGTGGCATATGCTAATGAGTTATGCTAATGAGTTCCCCTAGCTCTTTTTCTACGAAATGACCCCTGGAGCTAACGGCATTATAGTTGTGCGTGAGCGATTTGGCTACTGCATACATTAGTCTGCTCTGGAGCCATCCTTCCTGAGCGAAGACAAAAATGTGTGAGCCGGAGGCTAAAAAACTGTGAGCTAGCTCACACTAACTCAGCTTAGAGGGAACACTGCACCTGACGGTAGCAGACCTCTTTGTTAAACTCTTCCCCGGAGGATCTTTCTGAATGGTTGCAGAGAGCCAGTGTGGTGTCGTGGTTACAGTGCTGGACTGAGACCCAGGTTCAAATCCGAACCTGCCATGGAAGCTTGCTGGGTATCCTCAGGCCAGTCACTCTCTCAGCCTAGCCTACCTCACAGGGCTGTTGCAGTGAAGGTGAGGCAGGGGGGAATTATGTAAGCTGCTTTGGGAGCTGGGGAGAGAAGCAGAGTCTATAGATTTATCTAAATAAAGGATAGCCCAGGCTAGCTTGATCTAGTCAGATCTCGGAAGCTAAGGAGGGCTGGCCCTGGCTAGTATTTGGAAGGGAGACCTTCCCGGAAAAGCAAGGTTGTGATGTGGAGGCAGGCAATGGCCAACCACCCCTGAACATCTCTTGTCTCAAAAATCCCACAAGGTCGCCGTAAGTCAGTTGCGACTTAGCAGCACTTTCCACCAAATAAAGAAACAGGACATTTAGTCCAGGGCCAGCTTTTGGTGGCCGTTACATCTGAAACCCTATTAGCCAGGACCCTCAATCTACTGGGATTGGACGGTGAAAGTTCATCAATCAGAAAACTCTCTTTTTCAGACAAGGTCAGGAAATAGCATAAGAAGCAAAAGGTGGGTGTGGCTGGATGACCACACTTCTGGTAACACGGGGTGTGGCCTAATATGCTAATGAGCTGTGCTGTTGGGT